AAAGGTTCTTAGAGAGCAGCAAGGGTTCGATTCGAAGGGTTTGGAAAGAGACGGCCAAACCATCCAAGGTATTCCAAGAATTTCCCAGATATGATATATTCACTTCTTTGCTGGTATTCAAGTATTCCAGATAGAGTTTTGACATTTAGCGGGCAATTTGGGCTTTGAAACAGGGTCACATGAGATGATATTTCTTGACACGTCGGGCTACACACGTGACTTCACAGCATTGGTGGTGTTTTGTGCTGCCTACACTCTGTTTGATCCTACAACCATATGGAAGCCACCGCTCTATCAGTGAGCAGGTGAACCCCACAGCACAACTGCCCTCCACACACAGCCGGCGAGCCGATGTATTGGTCTTGCCGCGTGTTCGTTTTTCTTCTGAGGGGAAACTGTTCAAATGTGTATTGTGCAGCTTCTCTTTGATGACTCATTTCGCGATGATTGCGCCTCTATGCGACCACCCCCAGCTCGCAGCAGCTTGCACTTGTACACGCAGGCGTCCAACAAGATGCGCTTGGATGTGGACGAGAAGCTTTGCTCTGCACCATCCACCCAATCGGAGGCTCCATAAGAAGGACAATCCGACCAATGTGGTAAGTGGTAAAGTCCAAATTCATGGTACTTCACATCCAGCATAGCATAGGAACAAGATGAAACAGATGCCCTGGACATTTCAGGCAACCAAGACACTGCACAGGAAGGTAAGACCACCCAAACCTGCGATGCGCAGGTGTCCCCGAAGGCACCTGACCCGCCGCCGGTCTCCCTTTTGCAGGCGACCGTTGTTGTCGGACGACTTGATTTGGTTGCCTTGGAAAGCTAGACTCCCCATAAAGTACCATATATATATATATAGTAACCACATGTACACACTTAAGTCACGTTATCGAACCAAGCAGGCCTCAGCATACCTTGCGACCTTCGAACAGTCATTCATCTGAAGTTTTGGGTCACCTCAAGGGCCCCCTTGATTTGGGGACATTCAGGGTGTTACATTGGGACGACAAGTTGCATTGGTGGCGCCCTGGCTGAGCAATGCATCACCATCATTCATGGAATGTTGTTCTTCTTTCTGTCCCTTTCATCCAATTTCTGTCCTTTCAACCCCATTCTTGAAGCTCCATAGCTTTGCTCTCTGCTCGAGTGGATCAACCCCCCCCCCGCGACGACCGGACCAGGCCAGCCCAACCTCTCCGTCCTCCGCAGCGTCCCCGCGGCCGCGACCGCCTCCCGAGGCGGGACCCGCTTAGTCTCCCTGAAATCGAAGTGGAGAACCAGCTGGTGGTATAGAGCAATGAACCAACAGGTGGATTTCAGGTGGATACCACCTGGTGGTATAGAGAAGATCTGTTTTCTTTTTTCAGGATTTCATTGAGCCCGTGTTTACTTCCATGAGTTCAGGGAGTGTCGATCTATACAAGCACTGGCTTAGCAGTAAAGGAAGGTCAAAGCGATGCCTGTTTCTGGACTCGGGTCAGTAACAAAGTCACAAGTCCGTTTGACCTGGGGGTCTTCCCTCCCTGGCTCCACTGACCTTCAAACTCGCTTGAGCAGACGGCATGAGAAGGCCATGAAAGCACACCAAATCGGATTGAATCATTGGGATTGGTCGGGCAGGGCAGGCTCAAGTTGGAGCTGCAATGACTACACTCCCTCAATCTGACATACCCACAAGTAGAATTGGACAATCTTGCTTTCACAGGTGGTTCCTATAGTTTGGAGGAGGGTCGCGATTTTGCCGCGCTGTTCCGCAATCTTGCCGGGTTGCTTTGGGTCTTGTTCGCTGATCGCGATGCATTTGCACCGGCCCTCAGGTGCCCAGCACGCCTGTTGCGGTCCCCCCACCGCCGCCGCTGTCACCCAAGGAGGCCTGGTTTGCCATCAAAGGGGCTGTGGAGACCGGAGTGGGATATCTGTTGATGTGCTACAGTGGGAGAAAGTTAGAGGTGTATGTATCATCAATTTTGTTCCCTTTCAATCATCACCAACAGACCCTGCCGTCAGATTTGAGCATGTTGTCCTGCAATTAATCGATGAGATGACTTGACATCACAGTTGGGATAACCTCAGAGAACTACATCTCCCATTATTGGATGCCTTCCTTCACTTCAGGCTCCTCCGCCACCGCCTGAACCGGCCCGGGGCCTTTTTCACGAGTCTGACAGGTAAAAAACACAGTAGTGCAGGGATTTAGCAAGCAAGATTTCAAGATCCCTGGAAATTCATTGGAGCACATTGGGCCAGCAGGCTAAGGTCACCCAGATTTCTCGAAACTCGGATGCCCTAAAGGGAACAACTTGGATAAATGGAGAGGCCAGGCCATTGAGAGTTTTGTACGGCCCATGAAAGTCATTTGCCCAGCTGGTTTGGGCAACACCATGTTGCTGGTCATTTTCCAGTGCATACGTGGGCGTGCTTTCTCTTCTTCAATTCTTCCCATCGGGGGAGTATTTTTGATGCGTGATCGCCCAGGACCACGCGTTCGTCATGCACTCATAATGTGGTTTCCATTGGCCAGTTTAAAATTTGTTGCAGAAAAAATGGGCCCACAAGGAGGTCATTTCTGTTAGAGGCGGAAAACACCTATTCATCCATTACTTGTAGAAATAGAATATGACGGACAAACTTAAATATGCTCTGAAGGTGTATGTCGCAGTACCAAACAGGTCGATAGCGGGGTAGAGCTCCGCCCTGTTGCCCACGTGAATTCGACTCGGACCACAAGGCGAAGGACTGGCCAGGAAGTGTGAAGCGCGGAAGGCGATGTCGAAACTCAAAGACTGCCGACACATCGGGACTCGCTGCTTCCGGAACAGTGTCAGCATCCCAGCTAATGGTCCCACTAGCTAGAGTCAGGAGGCAATTTCAGTCATCTATTTGCTTGATTTACAGTGGTGCAGTCGAAAAGATCCATCATACAACGTCACTTAGTGGCTTTGCGGGACAGTTGTAAAGCTACTGCTGTTTTGGAGGTTCAAGTCCTTTAGCATCGAGAAGGGTTTTGGCTTCATCTACCTAGAGGCGCGAGGTCGGCGATTGGATCGAAGGGACAAGTGGATTCAAGGCGCCTGGGCTTGAGGAAGTTGGGGAGCAAATCATCCAAGATAGGAGAGCGGCATGGAGCGCGGAGCTGCGCTGAAACGTTCCAAGGAGAAAGATGTTCCTTGCTGCTGAAGCCGGGGTGTTTCCAAGTGGGGTCGATCATCCGGCGATCCGGAGCCACTGAGACAAGTATGACATGTATTTATATATATTATATATGACTATGACTTGTACTAGCTTCAGATTCATCGCCATCGTACTTCATGTGGGTGATTTTCCCCACCCACCCCACCCAGGTTGACCAACAGACCACGACTAGACCCCAAGCTGCAAGGAAATGGTTGGTCTTAATCCCTGCCCACAGCTGGGGCAAGGGATGAAGCTCCTGAGTATCCGTCAATCATGTCGCTCTTGATGTGTTATTCATTCTCAAGCAGCTACAACCCGCTCCAAATCATGGTGACATCGCTTCACCCGAGTACACTCAAGCCAAGTCAAGCCATCTTCAGGATGAGACGCCGCGTTCGAAGGCCATGAGAACGTGTTTCCTGTTGGCACTTCGTTCGCAGGAGAACGTGGACGTCTTTGCCCACATCAGCGTTTTTCAGGGGCCAAAGCCCGAGGACTTCTCCGGGCTTCCTGGCATGTCGGAGCCTCACGACCGGTCACTGATCAAACCGCCGTGGACCGGCGAAGCAGGCGATTGGATCAAAGCCCTTTGACATGGGCACGCCTAAATTACATATCAACTCCCTAGAAAGACTTTGATTGAACAACCAATGAGGATTGTTCCACAAAGGTTCGTTTGAGGCGATGGTTCAGGTGTCTTCCAGCCATGTAACGTTAAGTTTGCAGAGGGCACATATTGTGCGGAAACAGTTTTCTTGAAGGAAATGCCATGAAATGCCGTAATACATGAAGACGAGAATGAAGGACTATTAAAATGGAAATGATATGCTCAGACACGGAGAGGCCTCATGAAAAGAACCATTCACAAAGGACGAGATGTTCAATCAACAGGACGTTCCTTGTGCAGAGGAGAGGCTGCTCTTATGAAGAGGGGCTTTTGCAGTACAGAATGATTCTCAATGAAAGAGACTTGGGAACAGAACCGGCAGCTTCAATCAATATATTTATATTGTTGAGGAAGGGATGGGGTGAAAGGGGAGCATTTCATGTGTAAAGAAATGTGTTCATGTCGAAAAAGAGAGATCAGATCGTACTCGCCTAGATAATAAGAGTAAAACAATGCAAAATAAATTTGACTGCAGACTTCATGTGTCCTAGGCCGCCCGTGGGGCAAGAGGTCGAGTTCACCATGACGGAGGGTTGGAGGTGAAGCGGCACTCGGTGAAGCGGACAAAACCACGGCAAATTTGATCAAATTTGGGGAGTAGATTGGATGATGCTACGTTGCCCAACTTGATGTTGGTGAGGCTGTGCGCCTTCTTTTTTGTATGTGTTGATAGCTCCTCATTTCTCTATGATTGACAGGGTGGTGACACAACAGATGAGAAACAAGAATCTTAGGAATCTAGGTCACATGGGTTAAACTACTTGGTCATTTGGGTTGGTTCGGAGTTCAGTGAACCTACAGTTGGGGAAACCATTCTTCAAACACAGCGTCAAAGTCCCTCAGCCTTTGGTCTCCAAGCCATTGGCTCAAGGTTCTTCTGCTGACTCCTGTATATATATATATATACTGTCCTTATTTTTCAGCTCACTTGCCCAGCTGAAACAGCTTCCGAAATTCTGCCTGACTCTGGCCAAGCCCTCAGTGGACCACAAACCCCACACCACCTCGGGAATGCTGAAACACGACAGAGGGCAAGAAACACAGAGATTTAATGAGTTATTGATTTTAATGATACAATATATAGTAATATATATATATATAATATAGAGAAGCGAAATGTCCGAACGGCAAAGATCAGAGCGCAATCTGAGCGCCCATGCGGCAGCTGATGGTGGGCTTGGGGAACCCTTGGCCGTCCCCAAAGATGGCAAGGCACAACCTGGGCACCATGGTGTTGGAAGCCTTGGCGAAGCAGCCGACCAGCTGAGTCTAAAAGTTTTGATTGGACTGACCAACTAGCAGGGCATTGGCCAACTTTGACACTCCTCCCCAAATCCTCAACACTTGATCATATATGGCATTTCCTTCCTCAACCGTTGGTGTCTTAACTTCAATATATCTCATTTGGCCAAGGAACTCTACAAGCTCAGGTTAGATTTGGAGTGGTCCTGGTGGTGGAGCTGTTGGGGATGGATCGCTGAAGAGGAGGAGCTAGGTGGGATCGGAGTTGGGATTTGTTACTTGCAGGACAAGTCCTTCCCAAGCTTGGAACCTGATCCTAAACATAAAGTGAATCAACTAAGTTAAGCTGACCATTTGGGACCCACTAAACATGGTCGGAACGAGTAACACCACATAGGGAAATAACACGTCCATTTAAACTAGTTTCCAACACTGGCACGAAAACTTGCCTGGATGATTTTTCATGATTTGCCATTTGCTCCACTAATGATGGGTGATGCTGTGGTTCCCCATTATGTGGTGGTGATAGACAAGTTTACTCAAACCTCATTGCAGAGAACAACTCCAGAGCTCGCGGCACAAAGCTAAGCACTCCAGAGCTCGGGAGGCTTCGGCTTCTTTCTGCCCCGGAGCTTTTACAACACCTCTGGCTGGGCGGTGCAGCGTGTCATGGAGCTCCATGGCTTGGAAGCTCATCAGGCGGGACCGGGAGGAGCTGATGGATGGATGGATCGATTATATCTATGAATCTATATGACTATGGTCACTACACATGTTGTGCTGGTATGAACTTGTACTATTGCTTTGAGCTGCTTTGAACATGTTGCGGGGGGGCAAATGTCATACATATACAACAGTGCATGATAGAATCAGCAAGATGCAATTTCATACCTTTGCGTCAAACGGGCATCAAGATAGACACATCACACCGTTTGTAGCCATGAAGTGGCATCACAAAAATTACTAGACCAATCCAAACCACTAAAGCCTTGCAAACACTTTGAAGAGGCACGAAACATTCAAAAATACAATTTACATGTTGCGGCATCACTGGCATCAGCAAGACGTCGGTGTACTAGGGATCAACTAGCTTATGGCTTGGTCAACATGGTGAACAACGCTGAGCCAAGCTAGACACAAACCAAGTCAGGCACAATGCAAGAGCCCAACGAACAGAAGTGACAGTGGGGCCACTTGTACTCTTGATGAAGGAACAAATTTCAGGTTTGGCAGCACATCGCTTCAGATCAGCGAGCCACTTGGCAACTGGTTTGGCATACCAGCACAACACACGGCGCAGCAGACCAGCAGCACATAAGCAACAGAAACGTAGCCGCAGCCGCAGCCTCAGCAGCAGTCATGCAGGCACGGAGGCACGCAGTTTTGCTTCTTGAGATGTTGCACGCTTTTGGATTGGATTTTTTCCTTTGGTATCCTTCGGGGTTTCGGCATTTTGGCAAGTCCTTATTGGTGTGGATTGTCTTGGTGCAAGGATGTGCTTGAAAGCATCGTTGGTTGTGGTATCCCTACCCCATAAACAATGAAATGGGAGGGAGACCCTCAAAGTTTAATTATCCTGTTTCATTTTTGGTGTTTTTAAGGATTGCTAGGATTATTTTTCTCACATCAAGACCCATGAAATTAAAATAACCGGCATTCATGGATGTATATCTCACATCATGCTTCCTTGAGCCTGTTCATCCACGTATGCTGATTTTGTTGAGACAATGCGGCAGTTGCCGTACTTTAACAGTTCCAAATGTAGCACGCATAGCCGCAAGCCGGGCCACAGGGCTAATCAGTGTTCAACCACCTGTCAGCGCCATGTTGTGTATTTTAGTAGCCTTCAAGGTGCTTGCAGCCTTAGGACTTGTAGTTGTTATCCTCAAACATGGCATGATAATTCAGTTTTCTTTACAGTCAGAGTTCTCCGAACCTTTGGCAAGCAAGAACAAAAACATCCAAGTAACGTTATGTTATGTTTTGCTAATTAATGCACTGTAATGTAATGTAATGTGATGGTATGCATGTATGTATGTATGTCTGTATGCAGGTAGGTATGTATTTATTTATGTATTTACCTTTGTAATGTAATGTAATGTAGTGTTACGTAATGTAATGGTATGTATGTATGTGTGTATGTA